TTTGGAGGTTTGGATTCACAGACAATAAAAACCCCAAGGCAAATGTGAATAATGAAGCACTTTATTAACTGAGATCAAGGCAAAAGCAAGAATCAAGATCATATACATCACCAAATGGGAGCTCACCAACACTCAAACATAGATGCTGGGGAATCCCAGAAACAGCTTTCAGGGTGTGACTGGGAAAGCTCTGAGCAAAGTGTCCTTCCCTCAGATGAGATTCCAAAGTCTCACTTTAGAAGCTATGGTTAAATATGTGTTAGACAAAAATGGCTACGTGCCAAGGGTCTTGTGTGAGTTAGCTAACCAACAGGTCCCTCTGGGAGAAGTGCCAGTTCTCCCTGAAGGAACAGTTCAATATTAAAAGTACTAATCTTCCAGGGAGTAAGGCCAGTTCTCCCTGGGAGAGAGCACACCTATATTTCATTCTTACAATAAAGGTCACAGCTCGGGCATAAACAGGGAGGATTCTCAATATCCCTTTAACCCATCAGATGATTAGAGAAAGCTGGCAGAGCAAATAAAGTAAATTAAAAATAAAAGTAATCTATGCCCTGACTGGTGTGGCTCTGCTACATCTCCCAGTTGATTCCAGTTCAAGACACATGACTGGGTTGTGGGTTTGGTCCCTGGTAGGGGCGCGTACGAGAGGCAATCCATCAATGTTTCTCTCTCACATAAATATTTCTCTCCCTCTCTTTTTCTCCCTCCCTTCCCCTCTCTCTAAATAAATAAATAAATAAATAAATAAATATTAAAAATAAAGATAATATAGAGCACAAAACCACATTAAAAACAGCAAATATATTCTTTTTACAAGTAATTGTATCTAAAATACACATATAGAATAAATATGACTATAAACACATTAAGGGACATGATGGATAAGGTAGAAGAAACACAAAGTTAAAAAGTTAATAGAAAACAATAAGGTTATAACCATAATTATAGAGATAATGAATGTAAAAGCAAAGGAAACCCAGCATATTATAATAATTATCTGAACAAAGAAAAACTAAACAAATAAAATAGACAAAAGATCTAAAGATGTAGTAGAGGAAAATATTCTTAAAGTAAAGATGCACCTGGATTTGTGCTCAAAAGATCACACACACCAAGACATAGCTGGATGATGTTTCCAAATCTCAAGGGTAAGTAAAAAATAAGATAGGCTTCTATACAGAAAAAGAAAATGGACATGGTATATGGTGATCTTCAAAATATTCCCACGAGTTTTTTGATACAGTTCTCATCAAAAGGTGGAGCTAAATTCCTTTTTCCTTAATTAATGGTTAGAGATGTTTATAGGTAACATAATACAGCAGAAATGATGGGATGTTCTGAGGTCTGGTTATAAAAGGGATATGAAAATGTGGCTTCTAGCTGGGTTCACGTGGACTCTCTTTCTATCTCTATCTTTTTAATTACTCATTCTGGGGAAAGTCACTTGTCATTAAACACCCAAGAAATCTACAGAGAGGCCTATGTGGTGAGAACTGACTCCCATTAACAACTAAGTGAGTAGAACTGTAAGCAGATTCTTCAGTCTCAGTCAATAGCTTAATTGCAACTTCATAGAGACTCTGAGGCAGAATCATCCAGCCAATTTGTCCCCAGATTTCTCACCCATTGTAAGACAATTACAGAAACTGTAAGACAATTACAGAAACTGTAAGATAATAAATATTTGCTCTTTTCAGCCAAGTTTTGGCTGAAGCAATAGGTTCTGTAGCAATAGGTTCTGAAGCAAATTTGTTCTGTAGTAATAGGTAACTAACATGTGATTCAAGATGGAAACTGTTGTTCTCAGAATTTTCCACATGCATATTCCAATCCAGAAGATGAGCAAATCTACAAAGTTCAGAGGGAAAGAAAATATGATCCAGGAATTTTAAAGTTAGCTGAGTTGCTCATGTGCATATATAATAGCATGCTCGAGAATGTAAAAACAGGGCAGATAACTATGGTCTTTCTTTTAAAAAAATTGAGATACTTCAAATCAAACATTGAAGAAGTGATTAAAATTCTGAAGTTCAGTAATAAAAAAGACATGGCAAAAAAACAGTGTTAGATGCCAAATCCATTGAGTATCCCCTCAAAAAAGAGTCAACAGATAGATGATTTTTGGCATTAATTCAATGCCAACAGGCAATGAAGAAGGAAAATTCATTCAGTCCAAACAGTTTAACTGTGACACAGCAGAGCTATGAGAACAGCTCAATAATGTTAGAGGTCAATTATGAGACAGCAACCCTGTGAGAAAGCTGTGGGGCCAGGCAGCCCTGGAGTGAGGGCACTGCTCTGCTCTGGTCTACTCCACCTCCTCCATTCTGCTCTGTGTCATGCTGGTCTGTGCTGATCTGCTCCACTTTGTTTACTCTGCCAAGACAATGTTTTATCTTTGGTGTTTCAGCTTCAGCCAGGGAAACACAAGGGTTAGTATTCCATGGAAAGGCAGAGTACACTCTCTAAGCCAGAGGGGAGCCAACTTACACAGACGGAAGTCCCTGCACCTGGTCCCTGATTGGTCTGATCTCATGAAAATAAGGACTTTTTATTTTTTCAAATGAGGACTTTAAATTCTTGAAGTTTACTGGTCCAGAAAGCACTGTTGGGATTGGTTAGAATGGAGCCACTGTGATTGGTCAGTAAAGATGCCAATGGGCATATAGCTGCACAGCTCTGATTAGATGGGGAAAGCCTCAGTATCATTAGTTGAAATAGAATTATAAGGACTTTTTTGGAAGGGCTGGCTCAGATGGTAGGAACACAGTGCAAACAGGCAATTCAGTCCAAGAGGCAGGCAGCTTTAGGAAAAATTGTATTTAAAAAAGTTTATTTCCCATAAGCTAAATAAAAATAATACCTTTCCCATAACAACATAGGTTTAAAATGAGTTTCCTAGGTTACAGTATCTAAGTCCCTACCCAATACATAGAATTCTGGAGACTTCTCTAACAAAGGGACCTAAAATGTGGTTTGCACGAGAGTCACCTTAGGTAGTATGGACATTTTGATGATGTTATTTCTTCCAATCCATGAACCCAATATATGCTTCCATTTGTTTGTGTCTTCCTTAATTTCTTTCTTCAGTGTTGTTTAGTTTTCTGAGTACAGGTCTTTTACTTTCTTGGTTAGTTTTATTCCTAGGTACTTTATTTTTCTTGTTGCTATATCAAGTGGGATTTTTTCCCTGATTGATATTTCATTGTGGGTGAGACATCTATTTAGAAATGGCTGCTAGGTTCTGCTTTTAAATTTGAGCTCAGTTAGCCACCCAGAATCCTTCTTTGTAGGTCTTTTCTCTCAGGGTGCACATAAGTAAAACTAAATTGTGAGAGGTTTAGTGGGGATTTGGAATACAAATGTTATAAACCTGACAATTATAAATAATAATATAATTCATAAAATTCATGAGTAAAGAGAAGAGATAAGTGTAAGTGTTCTAATTTTTTCATTATTTTACCATGAAGTAAAAATATACAGTTGAAAGTTGAAATTTGTTAAAAATTAATTCTCAATGCTAAGTGAAATAAATCAGACAAAGACCAATACAATATGATTTAACCTATATGTGGAATCTAAAGAACAAAATAAATGAACAAACAAAATAGAAACAGACTCATAAATGCAGAGAAAATACTGCTGATTGCTGGAGGAGTGGGGCTTTGGGGGACTGCGTGAAAAAGGTAAACAGATTAGCAGTACAAATTGGTAGTTACAAAATAGTCACAGGATGTAAAGTGCAGCATAAGGAATATAGTCAATAATATTGTAATAACTATGTATGGTTTCAGGTAGGTATTTGAAATTTGGGGGGGCTGCTTTGTAAAGTATGTGGTTTTCCATTAGGTAGAAGTTAGAGAATGTAGAAGGAAGAGGGGTCAGAGGGGGCCCATAGTGCTTATAGGAAAAAAAACAACCATAAATAACTTTGGCTAACTGTCTTACCTTTGATTAACCTCTTCCAGAAATGTATCTGTTTTAAGAGGGGTCCATAATGTTTATAGACAAAGCCCATAAATAATTTTGGTTAACTGCCTTAACTTTATTAACTGTCTCTGGTAACATATGTTTCACAATGGATGACCAGATGTGGTCTGGAACAAACGTAAGGACCATGGGAAATAGACCCACACACCTGCTTACCTTTAGGTGGTCACTTCCTCCCGTGGGAAGGCAGAGACACGACCTTTATCCATCAAGCAATATGGGGTAACTCCCTCACCCCACAAACTATGTAAGTTTTCAGGACAAAGGGACCAGAGGCCTATGTCTCTCTCATCCACCTCAGGAAAAAAGAACTTTTATTACTAATAAACTCTCCTTGTCCTGACTTGCTGATCTTTAATCCTTTACTGTGTAGGCAAGAAGAACTGAGTTTCCAACATTTCCACTATCTTGTACACTTGAAGCTAATACAAAATAGTATTGAATGTAAATTGTGATTGAAAAATAAATTAAAAAATAATTACCTCAATTTCACTCTTTATAATCATTTTTTAAAAGAGATCTTTGAGAAACTAATATCTTCTCCGGAAAAAAAGTCTGAATAAATAATTCTCACAGTTACAGTTTAGCTTGTTTTCTTAAAATTTAATTTGCATTTTACTTTAAAATTAGCGTGACCATGTATTACAAAAGCATATCTCTCTCCATACTTCTATGTGTTTAAATGCTTGTAGAGATATCTGAAATGATGGTAATGACACATTAAAAATATTTTTTTACTAGAGTTTGGGGTGATTGTTATAAATTACAAGGCATGTAAAGTGTTCCACTGAGGGCATCCCTGGGTGGCATTGCAGAGCCTGGTTTGTCCCGATGTGTGCACACAAAGTCGCAATAACGAGGGTATACAGCACGAAGGTACGCAGGCTTGCACCCAACCATTTTGGAAAGGTAGGTAGAAGACTCCGGCGCCACACTTATTCGCGTGAGCGGCGGCGAGGGGGCACCACGTGACAAGGCAGTACCGGGGGCGGGGCGAGCCGCAGTCCGGGATTTGCTGTAGTTGGGATCTTGGGCGGTGTTTGAGGTTTCTCCTCCCAAACTCAGCCTGGGGCGCTCCGTTGGAGTAGCGGACTTGAGTAGCAGGCCAGGTCCCACCCGGCCGGGAGCGACTTTAAGGCCCTGGCGCAGCATCGTCAGGTCGGGTGAAGGTGGGCGCTGTCCCCAACCGCCGCCTGGGCGGTGTCAACGGCGTGCCCATGTCGCTGCCTGGGCGCCGGGGCCGCCTGTCTTCCCCTGGAACCAGTCGCCAGTCCTCCGAGGCCCGCGAAAAGCTACGGCGCCGTCTCTTGGGCCTCATCGAGGGCAACAAAGTGATGATTTTCAGCAAGAGCTACTGTCCTCACTGCACGCGGGTAGGCGGGGCAGGGGCGGGGGCGGAGGCGGGCTTGGGAAATGCTGTGAGAGCCTGGGGGAGACCGGGTCTTCGGGATCCCAGGCTGGCCCTCCCTTCGGCGCCCGGGGACCTCGGACTGGAGCGTTCTTGTTCCACTCTCGGAAGTGCACCCGCGAGGCCCAACTACCGCTCGGCTGGTCGGGACCCGGAGCCCGGGACTCGTTTTCGGGGTGGTTTACACAAAGCCTGAATCAGAACCTTTTGCTTTGCTCCTTTGGCTCCGTGGTGAGGCGGCCGCACGGGACGGCCTCCCAAAGCTACCGCGACGGCCTAGACTCCGCAGAAATGTTCTAGGACCGCGGTCGAAGGGGTAACCGCTCGTCCTTTTCGTCCTGGTTGGTAGTTTGATGTTGGTTTACTTATCAAGTGTATATCCAGAAGAATAAAAGATATTTCTAAAAACTTTTGGCCTGTTAAGAGTAGTGCAAGGAGAGGCCAGGACTTGGGAGTAGTAGACGGGACTTGGAGACAGATCCAGCTTCCTAACTGCTTGACCTTGACCGAGTTACAGAACTCTGCGGAGCTTTGGTTTCCACATTTTGTAAAATGAATGCGAGGAAGGGTGTGAAGGTGGCACGGGGTGAGGTAATTTCAGTTATACTTCATAATACTTTAACTTTGGGGGCTAACTGCGAGTCCAGCATTTTTATGGGCAAATTTGTTCTGAGGTTTAAAATAACTCACTTAGAAGTGAACCTTTGGAAGATAACTGAGTAATAGGGACTTTTCATATTTTTAAATACACTTATCAGAAAGTTGAAATGGAATATGAAAAAACAAACTCTTGGGTAGTTTCATGAAATTATAGGCTATGTTTTCAAATTTATTTTTGAGTACTCATTGTCTTACATATTGTTTCATAAAACTTGCACGTACATCTTAAAGAATAAAGAAACAAAGTAGTACTCTGGAAGACTCCTTGGATGTCTCACCCTGATTACATTTTCCCCTCTGCCCTTAGCGTGAACCACTATCCAAAATTTCTTGCTTTTCTTTGCATTTTTTATCAAATACACATATATTCCTGAAAATATTTTGTTCCTTTTGGCTTGTTTTGGTACTTTAAGTAGAATCATACCATAGTTTATTGATTCTGCTGTTTCTAGTATTTTGCCCTTAAAAGCAACACAGCTATGCTTATTCTTACACATATCTTTCAGTGCATATGTAAGACTTTACAGTAGTTATCTTGAAGTTGAATTGCTCGCCATAGAGGATACATGATTTCTACCTTAACAGGTGATGCCAAACTGTTTTTCCAAGCTGTTATAGCAGTTACTCTCCCACTAGCAGTGGGTAACACTTCTGCTTTGCTTCATATCCTTGTCAACAGTTGATATATTTAATTATTGCCTGCATAATGGCAATTATGAAATGGTATTTTGTTGTGGCTTTAGTTTTATGTTTCCTGATAAAGTTGCACATCTTTTCATGTGTTTATGGACCATTTGCATTTCCTGTTCTATGAAACTTTCAGGCCTTTTGCTTTTTTCTCAGGTTGTTTTATTTTTGTACTGATTTGTAGGTATTCTTTATATTTTGGATATTAATACTTTGGTTATAATATATTGGGAAATCTCCCATTTTTTTTTGTTTTTCATATTCTTTATGGGATCTTTTGGTTAACTGAAGTTTGCAAGTTTAATGTAGTTGTGTTACAGAACAAGGGGGGGCCTGGGATGATATACTATTATTGAAAGAAGCCCCCAGGTCCATTATGTCCACTGCCAGAGGAAAGATGTCTCTCAATGCCAGAGATTCGTGAAAAGGAAAGGAAATGTTTATTTAATGCTATACAAACTTAAAGTAGTGACCTAATGTCTTCATCAAAAAAATCCTAAAATCTCTTAAAACACCCACAAACAGACAAAGTCCTTCCTTCCCCCTTTGCCCAGTCCAGAGTACCGAATCTCAGGAAAGGAAATAGAAGTCCATGGCTCAGGCAGTCCTCTGGTTATTCCCAGTTAGTACTCTGTCTTGACTGAGAGACCTCCCTGGGTTCCTGGCACCCTCAGCTGTGTCGCCAGGATCTCTGCTAAAACCAGGTGGTGGTTCCCTCTTCTAAAGCTGCAGGGGTCCCCACTCTGGCAAAGGCACGTGGTCCTCTCTCCCAGGGCCACGGGAGTCCCCACTCAGCCAAAACCGCGTGCTTCTCTCTTCAATGGCTGCCGTGTCTGGGTTTAAATCCCCTCGCCAATCTTCCTCTGCAGCCCCATTTCTGACTCCTCCTACACTTGGCCACACTTGCCCTCAATCTGCTGTCTTTTCCAGCTTTACTGGTCGCCATCGTGGGTCTGGGCAGGTGTGACCCCATGTCATGGAGCCAATCTTCTCCGAGCTCCCATGCAGGCGCTGTAACTCGGGGGACCTGTCCCCCAGTCACATCTTGGGGGGGAAGGTCCCTTTCCATCCCCCTGGCCTAGAGCATGGCCATAGCTATTTAGCATATCTAAGTGACCAGCCAAAGGCTGTAGGTATGTTAAATGACCATGCCATGGATTATCTGCAAAGCTGCCCTGCATGTTCTTGCTCTGTGTGCCCCTTCCCCCAACTCACACCTATGGGGGAAGGGGTGGAGACATCTTAAAATCTCCTGGACACCTTGAGTTCTGGACCCCATTTCAAATGCCCATTTGGGGTCCCTCCTCTTGGCTGCACCCTGTAACAGTTGTGTTACTGGAGAAACCTTGGCTCTTGCTGATGTAGTAAAGAATTACAGGTCAGCAAGCCTATTAGCGTGCAGGCAAAGTTTATTAGTGAATGAAAGAACAAAAGCAAGGGTGGAAAAAGCAAGGGTGGGCAGCACTCAGGTGGCCAGAAAGGGGTGGCCAGGGGCCTGGTGGCCAGAGGCCCCCACAGTGTGACAGGAGAGCCACAAACCAAGAGAAGATCAGGAGTCCTTTGTTCTGAGGACTTACATAGTTGGCAGGATGGAGGTGAGGGAGCTACCTGTTGATTGACAGGTAAAGGTGGTACCAGCTTTCTGTGGGGAGGTGACCGCCTAAACATAGGTATGGGTGGGTTCTGTTAACCTGAATCCTTATCTTGCTTCAGACTCCTATTTGCTCATTTTGTACATGAGGCAGGCAGTTAAACAAAGTTGTTTATGGGCTTTTTCTTTTGGGCACTGTAGACTGCCACCCCTTCTCCTTTCTAGGCCTTGAGCTGAATACACAGTGTCAGGGTTTTCCTTTTACCAGCTAGTGGAGATGACACGTATAGATTTTTAAGGGTTTCCCTCTTGCACTATCATAGTTTACTTGTGTTATTCAGAGTGCCTGGCATCCTCATCAGACCAGGCTCAGAATCCCTGGGTAAACAGGTAAGAAATGTCCACCTTTGTTTTTAGCCTCCTAAATTAAGTTCTTTGTTAGATTGCAATGGGGAGGGCCCAGCCTTTATTTCCCCTCTGGTCCTTCATTCCTAGCTGCTACCTAATTTTGGTAGGTGTTGCCTGGCAACCAGGACACAATAGTCTCCCAGCAACAGTAGCCCAGTCTCAGGATTCTTCTTATACTATCTCCTGCAACAGTTGAATCTATCATTCTTTTCCTTTAAGGTTTGTGCTTTTTGTGTCTTATTTTAAGAAATCTGTGTCTACTCTGAGGTTATTAAGATAATGCATTGGTTTTAGTTCTTGAAACTTTTAGAGTATGTTTCTCACATTCACATTCTGTATTCTACCTGGACTAGATGCTGACAGTGAGTGGGGATCCATTTCATTTTTTTCTTTAAGACTTATCAGTTGTGTCTTCTTCATTTATTGGAGAGTCCATGCTTTCCATGCTAATTTGAATGCTCTCAGATATGCATTGGCCTGTTTCCAGGCTCTGTCTCCTATCTCTATTTTTTATTTTTATTACTTTAAAAATTTATTTTATTTTGATTTAATCTTTATTGTATGTTTTCCCTTACCTTATACATCCCTCTCCCCCCAAATCCCCACACTGTTGTCCATGAATCTTTTTTCCTCAATTCCTTGACCCCCTCACCTCCCTTCCTCCATGAGCTGTCATCCTGCTCTCCATCTATGAGTCTGTCCCCATTTTCCTTGTTAGTTCAGTTTGTTCATTAGATTACACATATGAGTGAAATCACATGGTATTTGTCTCTCTCTGACTGGCTTATCTCACTTAGCATAATGTTCTCCACATCGATCCATATTGTCCTAAAGGGTAAAATTTTCTTCTTTTTTACAGCCAAGTAGTATCCTATTATGTAAATATCCCGTAGTTGTTTTATCCACTCATCTACTGATGGGCACTTGGGCTGCTTCCATATCTTGGTGATCGTAAATAATACTGCAATGAATATAAGGGTGCTTATGTTCTTTTGAATTAGTGTTTTGGGTTCCATCAGGTATATTCACAGAAGTGGGATCACTGGGTCAAAGGGCCCATCTATTTTTAAGTTTTTGAGGTATCTCCATACTGCTTTCTGCAGTGGCTGCACCAGTCTGCATTCCTACCAACAGTGCAAAAGGGTGCCCCTTTCTCCACATCCTTGGCAGCACTTGTTTGTTGATTTATTGATGATAGCCATTCTGACAGGTGTCTCATTGTGGTTTTAATTTGCATTTCTCTGATGAATAGTGACATAGAGCATCTTTTTATGTTTCCTATTAGTCATCTGTATGTCCTCTTTGGAGAGGTACCTATTTAGGACCTTTGCCCATTTTTTTAAATTGGGTTGTTAGTTTTTTTGGTGTTGAGTTTTGTAAGTTCTATATAAATTTTAGATATTAACCCATTATCAGATGTATTGGTGAATATATTCTCCCATTCTTTGAGTTGTCTTTTTATTTTATCAGTGATTTCCTTTGCTGTGCAAAAACTTCTTAGTTTTATGTAGTCTATTTGTCTATTTTTTCTTTCGTTTCCATTGCCTGAGGAGATATATCCCATAAAATATTGCTACAAGCAGTGTCTGAGATTTTGCTGCCTATGTTTTCTTCTATGA